CCTTAATTTAGCCTTAATAACTGATTCTCTCTTCCTTCTTAGTCGTCTGAACTAGACCCTTAATTAAAGGAGTCTGTCTACCCTAATTGATACTAATTTGATTAGTTTCTATGTTTATACCTTTGTGCCTGCCCCACCTGTTTTCAAAACTATATAAAGGGCTCAGCCCTCCCCTTTTCAAATAGGGCAGTAACAACGAGTAAGTAACAATCAAGTAATAATAGGCAAATCTGCTTTCTACTCCCTTCTTCTCTCAAATACACAGACCAGTTCTGTGTACTTCTCCTCTTTGCTTTCTGAAATACCCTTTAAGCTCTCCTTGAATCTTCAAGTGTTCTGCTGAAAACCTGAGTTGTTTCTGTTGTTTGCTTGCTGTGGTTACTCTGCTATTCTCTTACTTTGCAACTGGTATGTCCATCTTAGTTTAAATACTGCTCCTCCACTATGTGTTTCACATCCTAGTTTTGTTATGCTTTCCTTTACTGTTTTTCTGCGACTTTGTCATTATTGTTCCTATGTGAATCCCCTTACCCTTTACCCTTTGTATGTGAGTTATGGTTCAGGGCATAACAGCACTCCAATTTGCTGTCTATGATCCTGAACTGGATTCTTTGAATCCCAAACTCAATCAATGCAAATTCCCTTTTCCCCTTTTATGTGTCTGAGCCCTGGACTGGGGTCTGATATTGTCCTAATCACTATATAGACTTTGGTCTGACCTTCAAAAGGTCTGCTCCTAACTTGTTCAACCAAACAAGTGGTCAGGGGTGTGCCGGCCTACTTTGTAGCTAGGTATGACCACCACCTTTCATGGCTCCCCAATTCCCCTTTTCACTTTGCACTTACTCTTAGCTATAAGTTCTGCCCCTCTCTTGCAAGCCATGCTTTGGGACCCCTGAGCTCCCTCTGAACTTGGATGCATGAGAGCTGGCTCTTCCACACTGCACTATTCTAATTCTGATAGTATCCTGGGTGTAAGCAATGCCTGGAATCCCTAAGATTCCTTGGAACTTTGAAGCACCTTGGATAGAGAGAAGGCTTTGGAAATCTGGATCCCGGAAGTGGCTCAATCGCATGTTATTAGACATTAAGGTTGAATTAGGCTACTCTGATCTAGCTGTTAGCTTTTGATGTATCTTTTAATTTCCAGTTTGATTCATTGGATTGTAATAATTTTGTATGAAACTCGGGGAGTATAGTAAAAGGGTGTGGGAGGGGTCTTTACTTTTCTTGCATCCAAGGGGTAGAAATCATGAGTTAGGATTTTTATTCAAACTAGAAATCCTACCTATAGGGTCTTTAATACTGATTCAATCACATAGAGATCATGCCTATAGGATTTAACGCTTAACTTTACCGCAAAATCACCTAGAAAGCATGTTTATAGGATTTAACATTCATGTTCTGTAATGACACATATAGAGATCATGTCTATAGGCTCTTGCATTTCTGCATATACAAATGTCATTAGGCAAACCGTTTATAGGCTCAATAATAAAGTTTGCATATAGACATCATGTGTATAAGACTCCTATTAATGTCATGAAAGGGTGTTAAAATCGGTAAACGTATAGAAAGCATGCCTATAGGAAACCTCGTCTTTAATAGCATCATTCGTTCTTAAGCAGTATCGATTGCTGGAACTTGTGTCTTTACTAAAACTGGTGATATTCTACTTCTGAAACCTGCTAAAATTGGTAAACCTTTTTCCTATAACCAATCTACACTCCCCCGAAACTCGTAAACCTTTTAATCAGTCTACATCTTTTCTGAAACAACTGGTAACTCTTTTCTAAAATCGGTTTGCATCTTTTCTCTTTGTTTAAACTGATAATTCTTTTTTCTAAAATCAACTTGCATCTTTTCTTAAACTACTGGTACCTCTTTGCATCTTTTTTCTAAAATTAATAGATCCTACGCCTGGGTTATTTATTTCAACTCATAAACAAGGGTTGGCTAATTAATGAATTGGGTCAGTCCCTGACAACTGTATCCGAGTTGCCTAATGCAGACTACCTGTTTAAATACATGTGTTGAACCAGTCCGCTCGCTGCATAATTTAATCTAAGACCAAATCAGTATTTGTCAAGGCATGCTAAACTAAATGATTGTTTGACTTCTGGGGTTAATTTGAGCCTTGTATGCTTGCTTGTCCTCCCCTTTTACTTGATACTTATTTTGAATGTCGAGCTAGAATTTTATCCTTTAAACTCCACAAAGGCCCTCATCCCTTTCTTCCCCTTTAGGATTAGAAGTCCTAATACCTCGGGACTAATAGGATTGGGACAGGTAGTAGCATGCGATAAGTAAACGATACCGTTCCGCGCTTTAATACCTTAACGGGGTGGGAAGGGTAGACATGGAGATGATGATTACACGATAACACTCTGCGTACAACTGAGTACCAGTGTTGTGCGAATGATCCATGTAATGTATAAACCTAGGACCCCTTTCTCCTTCTTTATTAGTTTAACAAAATTTTCTGAATCTTTAAAGCTATTGCATTTTCAATTTCTGCTTCTCGCATGATCTTTTGGATTATTTGCATTAAGTACTTGACCTTTTCCTCTACTTGCACGTTTTTTTGCAAAAATTGCTCCTTTAAAATTCAGCACTTCTTTTAATCTTTTGTGCTTCTTGTACTTATTTATTTACATTTACATCTAAAGTCACAATTGTAGCATGGCCGGGAACCACACTAGTGGATCTTGAGGGGTGCCTAACACCTTCCCTCGAGATAATTTCAAGCCCTTACCCAAAACTCAGGTCTGCATCTTTAATTCTTCTAAAAGTGTCCTAATGCACTATAATCATTAGGTGGCGACTCTCCAAACTCTCAAAAAAACCCAATTCCCAAAGTGGGAAAAGAGTTGTCTTCCCAAATGTCGCGAACCCGATTCCGCGAGGAAAAAAAAGGGGGCGTCGACACGTATATGATTTTAAATGCTTGTCACTGCATTCAACCTTTATTTATAATTGTTACTTACTGAGTTGGCGTACTCACGTTACTCCCAGCACCTTGTGCGCAGATCCAGGTGCCAGGGCATCCGAGTGACAACCGATCTTTTCCTTCATAGCATTTCCGGAGTTAGCAAGGTAGCTGTACGGCGTCAGCAGCCCTGCCTTTCTCCTTCCTATATTTTAGTATTTATTTTTATCAGACTTAACTTGTATTTAGTAGATAGTATCAGATTGTATTTTAGTAGCTCATGACTAGTGACTTCGGGATCGGGCGGTGTTTGAGATATTTTTTTCCGCTTGTTTTGAAATGTTTAAACGGAAGATTTGTGATAATATCTGATTAGTAAATGAATTAAGGGAAAGACCTTTTATGTTATAAATGTTGAATCGGCTAGCCTAGTACTGCGATAGGCGTCATCACGGCCGGGGTGGTTTGGGGTCGTGACAATGGTGTTCCAAGTCACCGGTTTATTTTAAATTCCAAATCGAGAAAATTTGACTCTGTTGCAAAGTCCGCGAAACCAGAAGATCGGGTAAGAAGTTTTGTTAATCCGGGAGAAGGTGTTAGGCATTCCCGAGTTCCGTGGTTTTAGCACGATCGCTCAACTATTAATAATTGGCCTAATTATCTGATTTATTACATGTTTTTAACCTATTGTGCATTTTTACTTTCTAACCGCTTTTAATTATTTATGGAGTCTACTTAAATAAGTCGCGATGTCACGCATATTTTTGAACACCTTGCGAATCGCGTCACGTAAAATGCACCCGCAGTTACAACATGTTTAATTTTATCGTTATTCGAAGTTATGGTCGGGTCACATGAAATGCACACTCGAATTGAGATTTACGTGTCGTGACCATGCCACGGTAACTGTACCTATAACCACGATAATTTACTAATCACGCCTAAAGCAGACTACGAATAATCATCAATTATTTGTTTTCCTAAGTTTTGAGGCTACTGAAGGTCGTGCATAGCGAAAAAGGGACTGCAGTGATTTGAGGAAAAGTCACGCAATGATAAATGGTAGCTTGATCTCAAATATAAGGGGGGGGGGGGGGAGGGGGGGGGAGTGAACATGTCTTGATTCGAATTAGACTTTTATAACTGCTCTAAGTTCCAAAATCACGTTTAAGAGTCCATTACTGATGCAATAGGCTAACATTGCTCAAAGCTTATTCAATGAGATAAGACACATCATTTTCTATCTAAAAATTTCAATAAGTTTTGTCAATTAGGAAATAATTGTTCGAACAAACCTTACAAAATAAAACAGTGAAAGCAACCACTACAATGGACTTTTAATCTTTTGAAATTAAAATAAACCTTCATCGAGCCAAACTCCAAGACCCAATGACATGAAATATTCAACTTGGGGAATTACCAGCTATGTCCATTTATAAGTAGCTCATTACAAAAATTGGCCAATTGATAAAATATTATTAATATTAACCAAATTAGCCAATTAGCTATTTGTAACAAAAAAAAAATATTGAGCTATGGCCGACGATGCTGCTCTCTTAATGGCTGTCACATCATTTATGTAAACCATTTTGCTCCTATTATTTTCGCATAAAAATTTACCACAATCTTTATGCTCTGTCCCATCACATATTCTTCCAAATTTCATCTGCTTCTTCCTCTGCATTTCTCTGTTTCCTCCTAAAAGCTTCTGTTGCATCTAATCTTTGAATTTTCCATCCCTTAACATTTATCAGTCTCTTTATTTTCTCTAGTTGTTTACTAGCTAGTATACAGTTATTGATCTTCACTTCATTAATAGCTTCCTTTAGTATCCTCTCGCGCGTCTCCACGTCTACTGAGTTTGATAATTCAGCTCGAAAATAACTATCAAATTCTGGAACGCCAATTGCTTTGTTTTGAGTGGGTGCTATTAGAATAGATTGGGAACAACTTAAGGAGCTTGAATCTCAGTTTTGGGATGATTTGGTGAAGTTTTGAGGTGGTTTGAATTGAAAATTCGAAGTAAAAGCTGAACATGAAAAAAAATGATATGTGTATCACACTGTGTATCATTTGTGTATCACATATGTATCATATTTGTATCAATTGTGTATCACACGTATATCCATGTATACCTGTGTGTGAGATACATGCGTGATACATGTTTAATACATGTGTCGCAGAAGACTTTTTTGAACTCGATTTAGTTACGAATTTTGATAGAAAACCAGTCCAAATCACCTCCAATCTTCCTCAAATTTTGTATATTGACGTATCTATATATTTTCAATGAATTTCAACTATACCCATTGAAAAAGTTCCTTTTTTGTTTAGATTTTTGGAATATTGTATAGATTTTTTTATTTCATCACCTTATTTGCTACCCCGTTCATGAAATTTCCTTTCCGTCTTGTATCTAATGTTGCTAATCACGCTTAAAAATATGGAAGGTAATTTTTGCATGTAATTCTTTGAGAGAAAGAACCCTATTATTTGGTTTTTCAATTTTTGTTGGCTAGTTTTGGTAAGTCTATGACTAATGGCTAGAGATTGGTAAGTTGAGATTTATTTAGGACATTTGTGTAAGTTTCCCTTCAACTTGCTTGCTTAGGCCCCTACTGGGCCTTTTTGCAAGTTGGCCCAACTTATTAAGGTACTTCAAATATCAACTTTGGCAAGAAAGAAACGTGGGTGAAATTTAAAAATAGCCAGATTTACAAGTGGTCGTTCAAAAATAGCCAAATTTCAAAAGTAATCGAAATTAAGCCCCTTTTCATGTAAAGATAAATCTGAGCGAAAATACTGTTCAAAACCTGGAAAATACGCCAGTATATTATGCTGGAGTTCCAGCATAAGTATACTTGAACTCCAGCATATTATACTGGAGTTCCATGATAAGTATGCTGGAACTCCAGTATAATATGATGAAGTTCCAGCATAAGTACATTAAAACTCCAGCATAATATACTGGAGTTCCAGCAAGTATACCAGTCCAGTATAATATGCTGGAAGTTCATACACAAGTGCTCGAATCTCCAGTATATTATGCTGGAACTTTCCGTGTGTTGGAGTTCCAGCATAATATGCTGGAAGTTCATACACGGGTGCACCGAACTCTAGTATATTATGCTGGACCGGTATCTGTTGCAGCAAAATAGTAGCTAATTTTTATTGACTTGGTAAACGCTGGCTATTTTTGAATGACCAGTTCGAAAACTGGCTAGACCGTGCTATTTTTACAAGAAACATCATGCGTTAAAATAAAGAAAAAAACTGGCTCACAAACGAACTTGCAAAGCTAAATCAAAATTAAATTTTACACACATAGCCTACTATTACTTGTTACAGCATGACTACTTTTACACATTTAGCCAAAATCTCAGCTCATACTCTTTCATTCCATGTCTTCACATTTCATCACTATGTTACTAACTTCATAACCTTATGACTGATTCTTAACATCGTAATCACTTGTACACTAAGCTGTTATCAACTCAAACATGTGCCTCAAATCAATTCCCAAAAAACTCGTTTATTCAAATAATTTCCAAAAGATCATGCTGTAGTCCATGTTAAAACCTCACTATTTAAAAGTCACATAATCAAACTAAAATCCAAAGTCATCACAGACTTGAACCAATATATGAATGGGAGTGATTAATACATACATTTAATTCCAAATTTCAACTTACTAAAAAAACATAGGCAAATCAGAGCAAAGCAGAAACAGGTAATTAAATCTTGAACTCAGTTCGCATAGCCACACGACATCAAGAGTAAGGCAACAAGTAGTTCAAAGCTTCATTTATATAATCCATGGAGAAAACAGAGGTTCAACTACATACCTATGACAGCAGAATTAAATAAAACAGAAAATAAGTTTCTGAAAACTGGAAAATGGGCAGCAACAAGAATAAGTACAGCAGCAGGAAACCAGCAGGAACAAGCAAGAACCAGCAAATTTCTGGAACCAAAAGAAGGATTCCAGCAACTCAAAAGCAAAACCCAGCAACCATTTTAAAATCCCAATAGAATTGGAGCAAAACCAGTAAAACTGAAAAGAAGAAAAACTTTGAATTTTTTTCGTTGATTTCTAATATCTATTTTGGATTTCAAAGGTTTTTTTTCAAAAAGAAAATCGGTGTGGACTAGAGAGAATGTGAAGCTTTAACAATGTGTTTTCTGCAGAGAAAAAATGAGTCTATTTTGAGAGGAAAATGCTGAGTATTAACGTGTCCTTGTGAGAAGATAAGAGGTCCAATATATAGAGAATAAAATCTGTCATGTGCTCAGAATAATGAGGGAATAATTCTCAGCAGGCAGTCCCAAAATTTCAGGAAAAAAGCATCTTTTAAAACTGAAAATGGACAGCTGTCCCTGTTTCTAGATTGTTCTTTTTATTTCCTACCCTTTAGCTTCTGAAAATCATTTCCACTTACCCCAATCTGACCTAATTCAATTATGTAATTTCACTTTAGTCCTTTTTCTAGAAACTTCCTGAGCAACTAGTTAGATTCCCTAAATTTGGTTTCCATTACCCCCTTAAAGTTTCTGTTTTACCCCTTCACCCCCCTAATTTCTAACTGGCATTCAAATATCAAAAATCAAACAATTAAGACAAAAATCAGAGACAAACAAAACAGAAACAATCTATTAATTAAACCTAATTAAATTACTGAATTAATTAAAACAGATTTAATTAGCCTAAACACATGCGATTAAGGGGTCTTGGGACGGTGTTACGATCCAAAATTCATTAAGTGTCGTGATGGCGCCGGATACCACTGTCGATGTGACGACCCGGCCGGTCGTCTCATGAGTTACCGGTCCTTTTTCCCCATTTCTGCTTCTTAATGCTTTGTTCATCTGTATTTTGAGGTATCGGGTTGGTTGGATTGAATCCGGGTTGATTTTGGAGAGGTTTGAGACACTTAGTCTCTTTTAAGAAAGATTAAGTTGGAAAAGTCAATCGGATGTTGACTTATGGGTTAGAGGGCTCGGATGTGAGTTCCAATGGTTCGGTTAGCTTCGGGACGTGATTTGTGACTTAGGAGCGTGATCGGAATGGGTTTTGGAGGTCCGGAGTAGAATTAGGCTTGAATTGGCGAAGTTGATATTTTGGCGATTTTCGGCTGATAGGTGAGATTTTGATCCAGGGGTCGGAATGGAATTCCGAGAGTTGCAGCAGCTTCGCTATGTCATTTGGGATGTGTATGCAAAATTTTAGGTCATTTGGACGTGGTTTGGTAGGGTTTTTGATCGAAAGCGTATTTCGGAAGATTTTAGAAACTTAGGCTTGAATTCGATGTGATTTGGTAGATTTGATGTTGTTTGAGGTGTCTTGATGATTGGAAAAAGTTTGAATAAGGTATTGGGTTATGTTTGTGCCTTTGGTTGAGGTCCCGAGGTCCTCAGGTGAGTTTCGGGTAGTCATTCGGATCATATTTGGAGTTTGAAAGTTGCAGAAATTGCAGGTTCAGTGTTGCAGAAAAATTGCCCTTCGCGATAGCGTAGGGTGTAGAAGGATTGAGGAAGGCCAGGAAAGAAGTCTTCGCGTTCGCGAGAGGGTCTTCGCGTTCGCGGAAGGTTGGTAAGCAGTGCATCACGTTCGCGAGAAGGGACTCGCGATCACGTAGAGTAATTTGGGTCTGAGGGGTTCAAGTTCAGTTGTTCATCGCGTTCGCGTAGGTGTTATCACTTTCGCGAAGGTTTGGGTAGAGGAAGCATCGCGTTCGAGATGGGTGTCACGCATTCGCGTAGAGGAAAAAATATGGTCAACGCGAGTTTGTGCTTCGCGAATGCGAGGGTTTGACCGCGTTCTCGAAGAAGGGAAATCAGACCTGGGCAGAATGTTTTTAATTCGTTTCATCCGCGATTTTGGGGCTCATTTCCTCCATAGTTGGTCATTTTGGGAGCTTTTGAAGGAGATTAAAGAGGGAATCAAGGGAAAACGTTTGGAGGTAAGAATTTTGGACCTAAAACTCGATTCTATTGTGAAATCCACCTAGAAAATCATGGAAACTTAAGCTAAAAATGGAAGAACTAGGGCTTGGAATTTTGGACTTTTGATTTGGGATTTGAAGGGTCATTTGTGGACGGATTTTGATGTTCTTGGCATGTTTGAACTCGTGGGGAGATAAGGAACCTATTGATGTAAAAATTTCTGAGTTTCGAGAAGTGGGCCCAGGGCTCGGGTTTTGTTAATTTCGGGATTTTTGGTATTTTTCGATTGTTTTCGCTTGGGTTTTGTTCCCTTAGCATATTGTGACGTTCTCGTTTTGATTTTGGATAGATTCGACGCACGTGGAGGCCAATTCGAAGGGCAAGGGCGTCGCGAGCTAGGGATTTAGCCGGTTCGAGGTGAGTAATGCTTGTAAATGATGTTCTGAGGGTTTGAAACCCTGGATTGTGCATCGTAGTACTATGTGAGGTGAGGCACACGCTCGATGACGAGCGTGGGGTTGTGTACTGTTAGGGATTTGGACTTGGTCCGTCCCGATTGATGATTTTACTGCGTATTTGATTTAAAACTATTTGTTATCAGCGTTTATTGGGCTGAATGCCATATTTGGGCTTCGTGCCAACTATTTGGACCCTTCGGGGCCTTTATTTGATATTTCCTCACTGTTTGGACTTACCATTTGAACTAAGTCATATTAAATTCCACTGTTTTAGTACTCAGCCATTTTTTTACTCAGTTTTTGAGATCCAAATGATATTTTAAATGATTGTTTGGGCTGAGAAACACTGTTCGATTGCCGGAGGGGCTTGTGATGATTTTAACTGGGTAAGGCTGAGGGCCTATATTGTGAGGAGATACTGATACTAATTGGAGGCCGAGGGCCTAGATTTGATACCACGAGATGGCTTGTTATTGCGCTTGGACCGTAAGGGGCCCTCCAGGACTCTGCACACCCCTAGTGAGCGCGGGTACCCATTGTGATGTGAGATTGGGCCCGAGGGGCTGTTACTGTTGTGCGATGTTGCCCGAGGGGCAGATGTGGTGTTACTCTGCCCGAGGGGCGAACTTTTAATTTGTTTACTTTATCATAATTATCTGTCAATTACCTGTTTACTGGTTTAAAGAGCATTTTTCCTGATTCTTACTGGTTTTCCTGATTATAAATGATTTTACTGCTTCATTATAGACTGTCTTATGCTTTACGTGATTTCTTACTTTCAGTCATTATTTATATTCGTTACTCACTGAGTTGGAGTACTCACTTTACTCCCTGCACCCTGTGTGCAGATTCAGGCGTAGCTGGTTCCGCTCCGGAGTGTTGATTTCCTCTAGTTCCAAGCGGGCTTCTTCGGAGATTACGAGGTAGTTGTTGATGTCCGCAGCCTCGTGTCTCTATTTCTCTATCATTCCTGTTTCTTTCCAAACAATTGTAGTAGTTTATGACTTTAGCATACTGTATTGTGGATCATAGATGCTCGTGACTTGTGACACCCCGGTTAGGGCTGTGTTAGGTTGGATTTTCTGCATTTTTATTGATATTTCCGCCATTCAGTGTTAGTAAATCATGCTTTAGACTATTATGTGTTGGTTAACTGTTTTAAAAGACGAATTGGGTTGAACTGGCTGGCCTTGTCTTCACGAGAGGCGCCATCACGACCGGGTTTGGGGTTAGGGTCGTGACAAGTTGGTATCAGAGCCTAGGTTACATAGGTCTCACGAGTCATGAGCAGGTTTAGTAGAGTCTCGCGGATCGGTACGGAGACGTCTGTATTTATCCTCGAGAGGCTGCAGAACCTTTAGGAAAAACTTCATATTCTTGAAATTCTTATTGTGCGAGTTTGTTGATCCGAGTACTAAACTTCTATTGTTCTATTCTCTCACAGATGGTGAGGACACGCGCTACCTGAGAGGGTGGACGACCCCTAGTGGCACCAGCTGCGGCCACTAGAGGCCGAGGACGCGATCGTGGTCGTGGTGGAGGAAGAGCAGCGAGGGCAGCGCCTGCAGATCCACCAGCTGCCCCAATTCAGGACCAGGTTCCAGCTGTGGACCCTGCAGCAGCACCAGCTGTGCCTATTGTGATTCCGGGTCTTCAGGAGGCCTTGGCTCAGATATTATCAGTTTGCACCGGCCTAGCTTAGGCGGTTTCAGTCACTACAGCCGCAGCTACTTTACAGGCCGGGAGAGGCAGTCAGACTCCCGCCGCCCGCACACCTGAGCAGGTTGTGCAGGGACTTCAGACGCCGGGGGCACATCCAGCCCAGCCGGTCGCAGCTGCTCAGGACTATGTAGTTCTTGTCATGCCAGAGGATGAGTAGCGTAGGTTGGAGAGATTTGGGAGACTTCAGCCTCAGACCTTCAGCGGAGCAGAGGGCGAGGATGCCCAGGGCTTTTTAGATAAGTGTCAGAGGATGCTTCGCACAGTCGGTATTCTAGAGACCAGCGGGGTCGCTTTCACTACTTATCAGTTTTCAGGACCTGCTTTNTATTTCGGTACGTTCTTCGGTATTGAACTTTTTCGATACTTCGGTATACCGAAATACCGAAATCCAAAATATTTTAAGAAGTCTTCCACCACTTCCCAGCCCAATTTCCCATTTCGCCAGCTCAAATCCAACTTGTTACCCCTAGGCCTTTGCAGTAAGATTAATCCCAAGTCCAACCCAACTAGGACCCAGTTTCACCGCCTTCTTAGGGCTCTTCTGCGCGGAGAGCATTTGCTGGTCACTCCGGTGCGCGGGGTTCTCATCAGTCCCCTTCTCCAGCGCCTAGGAGTTGTTATGAGTGTGGCGAGGTGGGCCACATGTGGAGGCAGTGTCTCCGCCGTGTTGCTAGTTCATCTCAGCAGAGGGGCCAATCATCACCTTCAGCTCCAGCTGCTCCACCACCACCCGCCCAGCCAGCTAGGGGTGGGGATCAGTCAGCCAGGGGTCGCCCCAAAGGGGAAGGTCGATCAGGGGGCGGTCAGGCCCGTTTCTATGCTATTCCAGGCAGATCCGATG